AAAGGGATTGGTTCCTTTTCAATGGGAAAATGTTCGGCAAAGAATGAATCTAACATTCCTGCTTTGCCTTAATCCTCTGTGATGAAGGGATCGTTGGCACTAAGTAAAGGCGGAATGACTTGGTGGGATTCGGCAAATGATCTTTAACGGTAGATCTGAGCAACTGATTTGGAAGCATTTACGCCATTAATAGCTAAAGACTCTACTCTTATCTCGCGCGAATCTCACTTTCGAAGCTAATTCAAATATCTCAACGATTCTTATATGAACTGATAATGAGCTCACAGAAGGATTTTTAATCTGCTTCCCCCTCCTCCTAAACCATCTATTGCAGTCTTAGTCGTGATGACAAACGTATAAAATAGCGCAAAGTACCCACAACACATCAAAGCCGTATGAATTGGTAGGTATATATTAGAAAAACAATAAAATAAATATGTACATTAATTTTTGTAGTCTCAATCGTCCATATTGGCGCTATTCATTGTTGAATTGGTCGAGCTCCCTGTTGAAGATCCCGGTGTTGGTTCTACATTAAAGAGTAGTGTTTACTTGGTAATGGAAGAACACTTACCGCCGGATTGGGTGTTGTTACTAATCCTTTGCCTTTTTTGACAGTTTCCAGTGACCGTTTAAGCCGCTTTTTAATGGACAACTCCAGATCGGCAATGGCGGCTTTACCGTCGTCATTCCAAATCCCTAAGACCTCTGTGGGTAGAGCAGTGATCAATAATTATTGAGAACGTACCCCTGATGGCTTCGTACGTCGCCGAATCGGGTAGTCCACTCACACAACAGAGCAATTGCGTAAAGTGGCTTGTGAGACATTTACAAACAACCGTCGTTTCCGTACCGTTTCTTCAATTTCTCTAAATATTTCGTCACCATATCGCTTAATTGGACGTCGTCATGCTCTCTCGGACTCTTCCTTAGACATAATGACAATAAGATGTAGCAAATAAGCAGATAGATGACAATGATAACAAAGAACAAGGAGGATGCAACACACTCACCCGCACCACGCTGTCCTCATGAGATAATGGCGTGGAAACGTAAGCGCGCGATTTGGCAACGCGCTAAACGTACGCCAACCAATGACAGACAAGAATGCATAGGTGGGGAAACCAATGAAATTACGAGGAGTGGTATATCGAAAAAACGCTATTGGAGTATATCTGTAACGCCCCTGGACTTGAACAGTATTGTTTGAATGCCGTGATACTTTTGGCGCGAGGACCTAGGGTGGAGATGGCGTAATAGCGTGTCAGCGAAGATGGCCGGTGTCCCTTCCTCTCGCATCCGCCGATCCCTTACCCCTTTACCGTACCGTACCGTAACGCTCGCCTCGATCTCCGTCTCGCAACATCGGCACCTCCCTCGGCCCTCTCCTGCAGTTGCCCACAGCGCTGCGCTCCCCACCGGTTATTTAGCTGGCATGTCGGTATCGCCTCTTCACCCAGACAGGTTATCTGATGGCTGTAACTCATTCTAACTGTACGAGTAACGTTTATTATTATACATATCTCCCATGACCGTCTTGTTATACTTTACGGTATTCTGTTCCTGACGTGCCCACTTCTGCTGTGTGTGAATGAGTATTCAGAGATGCTAACGACTCTGTTAAGATTACTCTCCTCCAGGATCTACTCTCAGCGTTCTCTTACTCTGGTGTGTGCTACCCTTGACGTCCTCGGCCGCTACATATCGACTCGATATACCCTTGCTACTAGGGCAGATTAATGTTAGACTGACGTGCCTATAGTTCGTTTCAAGAGCACGATTACCACTTTTGTACAAAGGTGTAATGTGGGTCATCTTTCATTCAGTGGGAAGAACTCCAGCATCAGACGATGCCTGGCACAGAAAAGAGAGTGCATAGGCCAACTCGCGGGAAAGTCCAGAGAGAAATTTTTGCAGGGATCTCGTCCATGATGGGAGATTTACATTCCTTCAGGCCTTTAAATTCTTCAAACATAGTTTTTTTCACAAAATACAACATTTTCAATGATCGGATGTCACATGCCTTCAGCAATATGTAAAATGAAAACCGTTTCTCTAACGAAAACAGATTGAAAGGACTGGGAAGTGCTCAGCTTTGTTTGTACCGTCTGATATTTCCAAACCGTCATCATCCCTTATGATAGGAATCGAATTCCTATTAGGGGTGCTTTTCCGCAAATGGCTGTCGAGCAATTTTGGATTTTTTCGCGGTTCGGTGGAGCAAATTACTCTTGAAACCTCGTCTCTTAAAAATTAAGCAAGTCATCTTATTCCTTCGGACTATATATTCTGTAAAGGACGCGTTGTTTTTGTTTTCACGAAACTTCTCCCACGGCCTTCCCTTCTTGTTGATCTCCTTTATGAGATCTTGCGTTAGCTACTGAGGTCGGTTGGATGTCCTACGTTTTGATAAGAGACAGTGGCTATTCATTAGGTGTAATAACTGACCCTAAAGTAGATTTAAGTCCTCATTGACGTTCCAAGAGAAGAGGACATCCCAGTGTATTTGTGATGACTCAGATCTCATTTTCCAAAAGTAACCTCTCCGTATATTTGGTTTCGTCTCGTCTTTTGCTTCGGTTCAGAATACAGTTCGTAATCCCATCAAAGCACTGTGTGATCACTCCGACCGAGTGGGGGTAGGCAGGACACCTCATCTAAACTGTTCGGATCTTTGGTAAAGACGAGATCCAAGCAACCAGCCTGTTGCCCTTTACACGCTCTAGTTGGAAGAGCTTCTATTGTTGTCCGTAAGAGACCGCAGTCAAAGGTATACTTCGGGCACTTCGCATGCATATCACCCCATTGAATGCGGGGTGCATTATAGTTCCCCACGAGTACGTGTAGTTGACTGCCGATCTCTTTTATGCCTTCCGGCAGACGAGTATCTGCGTCGGAATCCGACCGTGGTGGTCGGTAGGTAGTTACGACTTCGAGGGACTACGACGCCCGTGCCTTTATTTTCAGCCAAATGGCTTCTGAGTCGTCGAAAAATCTGTCAGCCCTCTCGAATACCGTGATGTCGCTCTTAGCATAAATGGCAACTCCTCCGCCCTGGCGATTCCACCTGTCTCTCCTAAACAGTTGGTATACTGATAATGCTACCCCACAATCACCTACGTTCTGTGACAGCCACGCTTCTGTGATTTCGATAATATCCGGAGATTTCTCGGCCACCGGTATTCTCAGTTTATCGAGCTTGGGCAACAGATTCTGAGCACTGGTATAAATGATTTCGGTTTGCAACATTCAATAGCGCTTAGTTCGGTATGACTCAAGTTTGCCAGTACTACGTTGCCGCCACCATCATAACCACCGGTTGGTTCCAGAGCGACACCATGCTACTTCGTATCACTAGTCCCCTGAAAATAGCCAAGTTACTCTCTCCAGCTGTAAATATTCTCATCAGCTGGAGGATAGTCCGGCTGAAAAAACCTTGTGAAAGTCTCGGAGGCTGCTTTTTCTGGATAGATGTAAACTGGCCTTTTCTTTACTGTCCATAACAAATTTTAGAGGGCGCGGTCGCACAGTTTCTGATTGTTCGCTCTTTTTACCGAACCTGAAGGCTGCGCGAATGGTTACATTTTCACTCGGATTAGGCATATTGACCAACAGGTGTTGGAATATACCAAGGTTAGCGGAAATTCACTCCTTCGAGGGAGGAGCATTCAATTTTCGACAGGCCATGGACGACTACACAATGCTGACGATCGAGGGGTCCGGTTCCGCCCGTACTGTCAACTGGAGGTCTATGGAGATCAATCAGGGGCGTTTTACGCTTCATTCTCTTGTTGTGTTGCTTACCCATTCCACCCTACCACAAGTTTAATCCTTCACTTTCAACCAAGGGCTCGACCTTCCGCAGGATACAGATAGTGGTACAGCAGGCTTCCAGTGGAATCCCCCAATACCGACTCAATTTCAGCAGACGTCTACGAATGTGTTACTCCTGAAGTGGTAGATGGATTGACTTCGCTGCTTCAGGTGACAGTGAGTCACGACCAGATACCGCAAGACTTCAAAATACCATCAGTGTCCGGCGTAAACAAAAACGAAACCGTCAGGTCCGTGATGCTAACCTCCTTAGCATTGTAAGCAGGTTGTCTGCACTCGATTCCCTTAGTCACCCAATGTGCACACGGAACAAAAGAGCCTTCTGGGAACTCCATACGACCATAGGCATGGTTTTTGCAGTCCAACCAGTCGCAAAAATGTCAAGAAATGGGTACCAGCTACTGCATTCAGTCCACCACCGGTAGGCGATACATCGACGAGTCTCCTTCCTGACAGGGACAGTCAGATATACTTTACTTATTCTAATACAGCTCCGTAGTGAGATGATAGAGATATAGACCGAACAGCCGTAACGCGATGTGTGGACATCAAATGACGGTTCCGAAAGGAGCACGTTAAGTCACGCGCGGGAATCAGCGTTGCCGAAGTGACATAGTCCTCAACTTTGAGGGGTGGAGATCGTAAGGTGGGACAGTTATCGCACGGCAAACAACCGTAGATGACTTGGGTGTCCACCAAGCATTTGACTGGCCGTCAGACAGACCTGCCTGCAGTCTACACGTCAGCGCGTCACTACATGAGCGGAGAAAATCCGTTAACTGCAGTTGTGGGACGGCGAGGATGAAGCCGACAGAATAAGATCCAACAGAGACTATTTACCATGATGGCGCAGAGGGCGATCTCCCGCTGGATCTATCGAAAACGACTTATGATTCAGGGCCGCTCGCGATCCGTGTTCCCCGAGCGTCAGGCGTAAGAAGCGGCTGGGAACTCAACAGGAGTAGGAAGGAAAAAAGTCGGTTCTTAAAAACAAGGTATTTTCAAATCAGATATATACATGTGAGCAACACCATGCTAGCGAGCATCCGGAATGACAGTGATGCAAGACCAGATCCGGATCGTGGTGCCCTCGCTGCTACCTTTGACGGCAAATTCAGTGCAAAGGCTTGACAGGAAGAGACGATCGGGTGCGACAGCTGGTGCGCCTAGCGCGGAAGAAGGCGAGGCTTCTTCGCATCCTCCAGGTCGACCTCATTGCCAGAAGTGGGAAAACTGTACATATTGCACACGGACGCCTTAGTGGGAGCTGCTGGAGTTGGTTCCGGCTGCCTTTCCATGTTAGAAGCTGTAGATGCAGGCTTCATATGGCTTATTATGGCTAGAGGGAGTTCTGGTGACCTCGAGGTTCCTTCGGAGACGACATCGGAAGCTAGCGACGCTGGTTGCGCAAGCGGTGCAGAGGAAGAGAGAGCTGTCCTCTTCAACTTTCCTTTCAACCGCCTAACATCTTCTCGAGTCAGATTGGGGTTGTAGAAGTCTGCTAGGAAGAAGAGGGGAAAGATGAGAGTTCGGTGGCATTGGTGATATGACATGGAAAGTAAACAAAGAGGTCAGAACTACTTCCACAACAGCAGGGAGGCCGCCTCAATAAAAGGATTTACAAATCTCTACGAAGGTAGAATAACTGAAGAGAGCTGATAATATTATGGCTTGGCTATGTTCTGGTAGCTGGTTGCCTGTTTGTGACCACTATCACAAATACGAAGCTTGTTCTCTTCGGGAAGCCAATGGATCACTGTGCGCCCATTCCTGAGTGACTAGATGTATATACACAGAACAGAATTACCGACAAAGACAAGGGAGACTGGAATGGCCATTTCTGGCTTATAGGCCGTCGTCAGTCAGTCATATCCAATCCCAAAGTGTGGAACACCCGAGCCTCGAACTCGCGACCTGTTAGTTAGAAGTCCACGCCTCTAACCACTGGGTCACGAGCCCGTTGCCCTGTCGGTTTTCAATCGGGAATATACAATGGTAGGGGGCGCTCACCGATCGTTCATACGGAACTCCGCCATGACAACCATCGCCATACCGTGTGATGCAGCGCGCTGGAAGTCAGTGACACGCCAGCACGAAAGAAAACCCTTAAATACTGCGACGTGCAGTACGCAACCCACCTCCGATGATGGAAGCTTGTTTGCTTTCGAAACGTCAGGCAAATAAATCCATGGTTCCTGTGATCGCCTAATCTTCTCAGTTATATCCGGGAACGCGCATTTTCGCTTCAATATATATACATATCTACATGCAATAATTGACAGGTTTGGTGTGGAGTACGGGGGTGAGTACGCGTTGGGCTTCCGAACTCCGGTTTGGGGCAAAGGTTTCTGAACCCCCTGATAAACTTCTTTGTAAGACTACCTACTAGAATATTCTGCATTGATCCAGAACAAGCGAGACCTACCTTGGAGATAACGCCAGAGAGCAAAGTTGTCAATATTTTTGGCAATCAGTTTGGCGGCCTCTTGTAGGGCCTGGGGAGACAGTCGCCGATTCTGGCAATAGAGACGAGCCATCTGGACAGAAATCCGATGGTTGTGGCGCATGTCGAAACTCACTAACTCCACGCCACCACGAACGGAGGAGACATAAATACGCGATTTACATCCAATGCGGACAGTCCGGCTATTAAAAAGCGAACGAGGAAGAATTAAATTGCTGAAATAGTAGACAGTGAATTCTTTAACACTCGACGTAAGAAGATGGATAGAGAAAACCATATGGGCAGGCGATACACATAATCTGACCGGCGCTGTTTCAGGAGTGGTCAGCAGATGTAGTTAAACCGATAGTGTCCGACAATTTGTCTAGGCTAAGTCAGTGCTTAGCGTGCGAAAACTGCAGTTCGATTCTAGCGGCCACAATATGGCTATCTGGTAGACGAACCTTTGACTCCTGGGATTATTTAGTCTATAAAAGTAGCACACTTTTGGTTTTGTTGTCAAATGGATAATTGGGCGAGTTGGAAATAAACATAGCCCGCGTAAAACTATAAAAGAGTAAAAATCAGGTCGGTAATCGACAAACAGGTGAGTCGTACCCCAGACCTTTTACCGAGGACTTGGCAACCAGGTTGAAGGACGGTAACCTCGCGCCATGGTTGGAAACTACCACCAAAAGTGATGCAACCGACCGATTGTATGATTAGTTAAAAGAGTACACAAACAACCAGTTGGGATTGACTGCGTACATCTCTACTTCTCACTAAGACTTCTTCATGTGACGACCAAGACGATATGCCCACCTGTGCCAGTCTCGTCCGAGTAAATTGCTTCTATGAATTAACAGCCTTCTTTGATGGGCCGGCGTTTTAGTTCAGTCAAGGGTAAAAATGTGTCCCGTAACTGAGATGGATGGGGCCAGACAATAAGGTCTACAGACGTAGGGCTATCTGACCCAATCCTTTACAACTCTGCTGGAAAACCTACCCACAAAGTTGGGAGATTTCTACTGCGTGTTCAAATTCCCCTGACCATTTACTCTGCGCGACAGAACACAAAGAAAGCTGTTAGTTTTGAAGAAGGAGACACGATCGCTACGACAAGAGCTTTATTAGCCTGACGTTTCGGATTCCTGCCCGAACCCATCATCAGAGACAAAAACAGAAACGGGGTGGTTGATGCACAAAGGGCTGCGATATTTACAGGATGCAGTAGCCATGCTACCGCATACCTATGAACATTCACGGCTCCCCCCTTCATCGGGGATCGTCGCACTTGGTGTGCTTATTGCTTCATGGTCGACATTCGCGTCGTTAATTGCTGCAATTTCATCACGTGCGTTGGATTCTTGTGTGATGATTGATCGACCACCTGACCCACACACCCTGGCGTTGAGAAAAGTGTTCACCTGTGCGATCCCTGCGTGGCCAATTACTCTGCCTAGGCGAAGTCTTGATTCGTGTGTCGGCCATCAAGCAATTAGCACACCAAGTGCGACGATCCCCGATGAAGGGGAGAGCCGTGAATGTTCATAAGTATGCGGTAGCATGGCTACTGCATCCTATAAATACAGCCGGCCTTTGTCCATCAACCACCCGTTTCTGCTTTTGTCTCCGATGATGGGTTAGGGCAGGAATCCGAAATACAGCCGCCCTTTGTCCATCAACCACCCGTTTCTGCTTTTGTCTCTGATGATGGGTTAGGGCAGGAATCCGAAATGTCAGGCTAATAAAGCTCTTCTCCCAGCGATCGTGTCTCCTACTTCGAGATTACTTCCTGGTACTCGCTTCTCTTGAAAGCTGTTAGTTGTCTAGCAGGGCGAGCTACGGACGTACGTAAATACGGCAAAGGGCAGACGAGGATGGGGGATAACAGTCGGACTCACTTAACACGAGCACTGCTGTTGTCCGACAGATGTCTGCTATTGCCACTACCAAAGTGCACACACTGAAGTGTGACGTTTTTGTAGGTCAGGCCCGCGGTTGCCGCAGATCCCCTCTCCTTCTGCGGCCACTTATTGCTGCGACCGAGGACGTACACGCTGCCCGTGGCCTGCTGAAACTGGCGCAGTCTCTCATTGAAGGCCTCATAGGAGTCCATGCGGTCAGAGGGGAAAAAGCGCACAAATTCAGGCGTCAGGTCCTCGAGGACTTCGTAGGCTGATGAGAATGAAAAAAAAACGGCGGTAACCAATCGGATTAAAGTAGTAGCCATTACTGTCTGATGTAACGGATTACCAGGGCCACCGAAAATCTACAGCAGAAGAAGCGCCCAGACTCCATTGGGCTGGCCTTCTGAGACAAAAACAAGGTAATGTGGTGGCTCACAAAGCTAACGGCGGTCCCTCGGTAGATCAGAATTCGGAAGTGGAGCAGGACAACTCAGTCCTGGGAGGAGTTTTCGGCGGGAATACAGTGTCGCAACACTTAGAATTGTCTATTCCCCCACCAGCCTGTCTTACGGGCGGACTACTACTACTACTACTACTACTACTAATACTACTACTACTACTACTACTACTACTACTACTACTACTACCACCACCACTACTACTGCTACTACTACCACTACTACCGCTGTTACTACTAATACTACTACCACTGGCGGGAATACAGTGTCGCAACACTGGAGAAAACTTTTTCTCCCGTCTACCACCACTGATACGGCGAATACTACTAATAATCCTACTATTAGTACTACTAGTACTACCACCGCCACCACGGCTGCCAGTGCTACACTGGTATCCAACCGAGTTTTCAATCCGTCCGGGTTTCCTTATGCTCAGCAGTCAGTAACATCACGGGACTATTGATGTTTACTTGACAGAATATGACAATGCTCATCTGAGACTAGTGTATAACGCAAGCGGAGTACCTGGTGGGGCATGCTGATCGCCCTCCTTGTGTCCCTCCTCCTCCTCCAGTGCTGCTCGACAGGCCTCGTGATTGTGCAGCATGTAGAATTTTATGATGTGGAGGGATAGCCGCCGGGAGCCAAGCTTGAAGGCAGCCTCGCATGCCGTGGAGCGCTTGCAACGGCAGACGTATTCCGCATTGGCGATCAACAAGTTTGCCCGTTTGATCGTGCCCTCTGGGTGGTAGGTGGCGCGGCCACGGGCGAATTCAACGCCTGTTTGCTGGACAGGGNCTATTGTATCCAAGATCAGATTTCGGGTAGTAGGTCAGAATGTAGCCGTTGGTCTCAGGGCAGTTAACAGCGTACGTTCTTGGATCACGACTCTATAATCGCAACAAAGACGATCAAGCAGCGGTCCCTTTAACGCTAAGTGTCGCGAGGAAGATATTACAGCCACAAAACAGGACAGGCTAGACACCGCTTTTAATGTAACTGCTGTTTTTAACAAATGGCACCTAATGAGTGCTCAAAGAATCCCCCAGGCATGCAATCGTTAGAGGTGGAATCAACGAGTCTGGGTTCGAAAAAAGTTTCATGTTCTGAATGCTTCTACAAGCATCAGAAAAATGCCTCGATATTGGAGTCAGACTAAAAAAGCTTAAAGACGGTCGTGATGTGCTTGGGTGACAGTGATGGAGAATCGGTCATCTTCCTAAGCGCCTTTTGAGCGACAAAAAATTAGTGCTTAGGGGTGGCCGGTGGTAGTTTTTGCAACAAAGGCAAAATTGTGATACGTTACACATTATCGGCTGACAATGTTTACCGGTCCGCTGCCGACGCTTTGCCGGTTTCGACCGTGGTCACGGAAGAGCTGGGGGATCATCATATCTAGGGGCATTATGGCATACAGTGACAACGGTTCACGGCATTACAAATATGACAGCGATCGGAATAGACTCTGACAGTAGCGGATGTAAAAAACATCCCCCTTTTTTACTATCTTCATCGACTACACCAATTAAGGGATTGTCTCAATATGGGTGAAAAATATTATGCAGAAGTTTCAGGGGAATCAGGATGGCAAACAATGGCTGCCGGCAGACTAGGCCGGGTGAGGACTTAACTTGCGAACGCCACAGCACAACTGGGCTGTCTGTAAAGGCGACCTACTGTCCCAGGTCGCTATTCACCTCCTGGAGGAAAGCCACGAACTCGAATTCGTTAGCACGCGGATAATGGCGCGAGCCAGCAACATGACAGGGAGCAGACTGCTGCAGGCTTGAGTGTCTGACACCAACTCCATCAACAAACGCGTTTCGTTTCCGCGGCCAGGAGCCGCGACCCAATTCCCAGCTGAGGACACACGCCGTCACGACGCCGTGGACTCAGCCTTACCGCGAACACCACCCCTGCCTCCCCAATCTCGCCCTCCCACCTCCTTGTATGACTGCAAAAACTGCTCATTTGACGTTACGTCCTCACTGTCTCTGATGATGGCCTCCTGTAAGAGCGCGAAAACTTAAGCTAACATATGTACTGCCGCAGTGATCACGTGTCTGTCTTCTGTACATAAATATGCATATTGAGGACATATAACTACGTTCGCCCACTTAAGGAATAAGGTATATAGGTGCCAGGAAGTTAGTTGACTTTCAGCGGGAACGGAAATATGGATCAGTCGAAGCGGAAATGTAAAAGAGACAGGTAAGGATCGATTAGCTATACGGGGTGTGAAGTGGAAGTACGTTTGGTCATGGCAGATTTTGATCCAGTAGGAAATGACGAGCGCAGTAAACAAAGTTATCCATTCGTACGTCCACTGCTCTCGTCATCACGAAGATGCGACTAGTCGGCGCCTTGTTGAGCACTAAGGAGGATTTCTCGATGTCCACGTGATGTACAGTAGCGACCGGATTCCCAAAAGCAGAGCTTAGGACGATCAGTACGTCTCTTTTGCTAGCAAGGCTGGTACGTGTTCTCTTATTTGCTTACCAAGACGTCGGGTCGTCCAGTTATGCACCCTAGTGCTCAAATGAACGGAAGTCGTCATCTGGTCAGTAATTGCCTATTTGAATATGTTGGCCTGTTGAACGGCTTCTGAAAAGGTTTGTTTGTCAAACAGAGGCGTCCCATTTAGTCCAATTTGGACTTTCAAAACCAATTTAATCGTCCAAGAGGCGGACGTAAATAGAGGAATACGTTAACCGGTTTTAAACCGGGCTTAGAAAAGACGATGGCCTGAATGTTTGTGAAGGCAGTATTTTAAAGTACCACCACAACAAAAATCTACAAAGATGGACGCGAATTAAAGAGCCAATAGCAACGAGGCAAACACAGGTGGATTAAGGGCAAATGATAAATTCAGATGGTATGTACTTCGTGGGGACAATAACAAACCGGATTGCCCTCAGTTAATAAACTACCAAATATTTCTCTGAGTTCCTACATTGTGGTCATTAGGAAGCTGCTTAGAGATTACGGTTGGGATCATGTTTGTCATAATAAAGACATGGAACAGGCGATAAAAAGGAGAGCTCGCGAATACAACCACGGAGAAATCTACCAAACTCAAGGGTTCTACATGATGATAAAACTGACTAGGCATAAAAGGTAAGAATAAGATTGATCTAACCTTTTTGAAATCCCTTAAAGCCTCCTCAAATTCCTCGTAGGTGTTAAAACTTTTGTCGGCAACAATGTTCTGGAATGCACTTGTCAAATCCATGAAACAGCGGAGCCAACTGAAGGCAGAAATAAAATTTGGGCAATAAAGAGAAAGTAAAGTAGAGTAAATGCGAAGATCGCTTCTGAGGTAATGGGGTGATAATGTCAAGATACGCTCTGACTATGACCACGGTTTTAAGTCAGGAATGGACATCATTACAACCTTCCGAAGCAGGGAACGCCACCGGATCACAGAGAAAAAACCACCATAAGTGACAGCTTATATTCACTTCGACTCCGCATTCCTGTCGCACACCGGGTTTGTCGGACACATGCGAGTCCAAGGCCAACTTCAGAGGGGTGAAGGGTGAGCAATGTGCTTGAGAATATCATGCTAACAGACCGACGGGCACAGGTCTGGATTTCTGCTTGTCATACCACGTTTCTGAGAAATGTTTTCGACGACAAATCTCCGGAACAATCGCTTAACTTTCAAAACGCCATCAGATAAATAGGAACGCTTATCTTGACGTACTAAGGTAGAATCGCTCACCAGTGAGACTTGTGTTAGCGTATTCCCTCCGATCGGTCGGACTCCCTTGTCGAGCACCACATCCGAAATGTGAGCACTGCGTGTTTCTACGCTCGACATGGCCAACGGGCTGCCAGTCTATTCGGTAGATTCTACAAAATCCTACAACTCTTGTGTATGAGCTGTTTCCCTACTTCGAATACGGTTCAATAAACAAAAAAACCATCTCCCTTTCGTCGTGACTGATCAAATGATTCTGTACAAATCACACGCCCGAAATCACGAACGCTTCTTCCCTGAATCAATTTGTTTGCATTGCACGCAGATGGTCTGTTCTGGAGCAGTCAAAGATAGGCCTTCCGCAAAACCGTGGTGCGAAGTCACGCAACCACTGAAGTTCTCAACCGCATATGTTCGAATTATGCTATACTACGTGTTAAACACATCCTACACTACAATCAAGGGGAATTACAAGTATACGCGATATGAAGCGACGAAAGTTCCGTATAAGGGCAAATATGACGATACGAAACGCTGCGAGTTTTGCCAATAAGGACAATCAAATGATGAGGTAGCAGTAAACGCCTTGAGATTACAGGCATTTTTAGCGGCTGAACACGTTGGGGACGACACAACCACGACTAAACAAGGCCCTGAGATCGTCTTCTGACTAAGGGAGCACTTAAGAGTCAGGAAACATCGCACCTAACACGCGTATAGAAGAGAGGGGGAGTATATGAAACTATAATGAGCGTTAATAACCGGGGCAAAACGTAATACGGATACAGTAACACAAAATAGAAGTGTGTTGCATGTACAAACGACCCATGCAGGGCAGAAAATGTTTTTGTCATGCCCACTGGACTACCGCTGGGGAGTAAAGAGTTATAGGAAACTGCAGGAAAGGATAGAGAATATTGCTGAAGAGAATAGAGACCGTGGGGCGATTGGTGTGACGAGCGTGGGTAGGGAGGACCGTCAGCATTTGCGAGAAAATGGGCACCGACCACGTTCACTGTCATGTAGTTACACCAAACTGGGTTCCTGCCAAGTTACTTTATTGCGCCCAAACAACTCTCTCGGTTCAAATACTATGTAGCCAACCAAATGGAGTCAAATAGGCGAAAGTTGCAAGAATCCACACAAGTGCCATATATCAGATGACAGAACAATAACACTTTTTAGAGAGGAAAATGTACAACAAACAATGGAATAATAATTGAATTTCAAATAGAACACCGAACGGAAGAAATGACGCCGCTAGTCAACGAGTAAAATAATGGATGCGATAAGAAAATGCAGCCGGTCATGGAAGGGGACGAATAATTAAACACCAGGGTCAGTGTCAAGTTAGGGCCCAGAGGTGGACCTTGCGGAAAAAAAATAAGATTATAGGGGAGGGGGGGGGGTGCAGGTCTCCATGGAAAGTACAGGGCTGTTCGAACATACTAACTCATCCTCAGTCTCAGATTCTTTTAGAGCCCGAATATGTGATGTTCATGATAATTTTACTGACTTGCGCGTCCAGGCCAACCTTGATTTGAAGCGTCTAACATCCGAACAATGAAAGTGGTGTCTTCTGGGTTTCCCTGGTCAAACGGCTAAAGTTCGTTTCACTTGAACCTGTACACAACCGCCACACAGGACACTTAGCGATCTATTATAGGCTTTAGAAACGCCTTGGTCTTCAGTAATCTTTGATTGGACTCACCACCAATTTTGACTCCGCACACAAACGCCAGAGGAGGATTCTGTGTCGTATTCAGACGTCCTCTTTAATCTTGGCAGAAGGGTCTTCCCGGACGCTCAGCGATCCGGGCAAGACTTTCGTTTTCTTAATAGTCTTCACTCAGCAGAAGCCAAGCGGGAAACGTCAAGTCGGCCCCTCAAACCGGGGCGCCTACGACGTCTCCAGCAACTCCCATATGCGAATTCGGGCTTTTGGACGAGGATCTCCTGTTCACTATATCAAAAACACCCTGAAGGATTGTTGGCACTGTCAGCAGTCCAAAGACGAGGTCCGTCAGTGCGGCCGCACAACCACTTCGTTCCTCCAGGCAAAACGTTCCTTGTTATAGTGCCCTTCATTTCTATCCCACAAATCACGAACTTCCTACTGACAGTCACTGGCACTATTGGTGAGACACCGCCACTACAAATGTAGTAGTCGAGTTCCATGATGGTTCAAATGCATGCAATATGTCTTTTCCGTATTCTGGCTTAGCACGCCGTCTTCAGAAGTGTTGCGTCCATCATGAGCGCCCCAAACATTTTCGAACGGTTCGTCCTTGGTTCTTTCTGCTCGCAACATACTCATCGACACTGGTGACATCCGTTCTGTTCATCTGTTAGGAGCTACAATTGCATTAATGCGACACCCGAGGTCCCTGATGTGACAAATGTGGAGTTTCGTAGTTATTGTCAATAACATCCCCACTTAGGTATTCTCATTATCTTAAATAGCGTCGGTTCTATAACTTCATCATAGGGTGATAACTTGTCTCGGCAATCAAGGCGATTACTCAAAACCTGCATGTCAAATATTCGACATTAATGCTTATTGAAATGTCGGTCGCAGTGCAAACATGAGATGTGAACAAACACAACGACACATAAAAAACTGCTTGCCTTCGTTTTTTCCTATAAATATCGCCAGTACCTCACTTTGCTACTGGGTTGTGATTCGAAAAGTTGCGAGGCATTTAAGCATTACAAACAAAAAATAGGTTTCGCAACGTCTGAAAAACCAGTGTGCCCACTTTATTAATTTGTCCAAATTAATTGCTTATTGAAGTAAATTTTGAACAAATTGTATAAAAGGTCTATTGTTCAATGTGTTAATTTTTATCCAGGAACAAACTGGAATACCCTCCAAGCGTCAGGTCCAACATCGGCATTCGATTACCGCCTGTTGAGCAAAACATTAAATGCGTGCCTCACACAACATGTAATGTTCCCAACGAGAACACGTGTAGGACAAAGGGCAAACTGCCTGGATCTGGTCTTTACGAAAACACCAGACAGCATAGACGAGATCACCTCCATGCCGCCCCTTGGCCGAAGTGATCACGTAGTGCTTATGTGGGATTATTCGTTATTCTCCATTTCACATACTCCAGACCACAAAAGGCGGAATGTTTGGCGGGGCGACTTCAATCAGATGAGGGCAGACTTATCCGGTCTTGACTGAGGCTCATTGTTTACGGGAAGTGCAAACGATGACTGGGAGCTGTTCAAGAATGTCCTTCTGCAGCTCATCAACAACCACTGCCCACTGACTAGTGTAAGACTGAACAAACGCCCTGGGTGGCTAAATAGCAACCTCAAGAAAGAAATCAACAGGAAGCACAAATTGTGGAGAAAATACTGCGTCACTAGACAAGCTGAATGCTTCAACACCTACAAGACACAGAGGAACAAACTGAGGAAGCTGATAATGAAGACGCTGCGGGAATTCGAGAAGAACTTCCTACAAAAAGCAACGCGGAACCCAAAATTACTCTACAGCTACCTCCGACGAAATACAAGGAACAGGCATCAAATCCCCTTGATAAAGACTACTGGTGGTGTTGAGATCGCTGATAGTAGGGATAAAGCTGCGTATTTTTCACGGTTTTTCCAATCAGTCTACACAAACGAGGCAAGGTTCCTTCCTCCCTCCACAGAAGAACTGCCGACTCCATGCGTCTCAGAAGGCATTGTCCGAAGACAATTAGAGGCATTGAACAAATCGAAGTCGCCAGGACCAGACAAGATTCCATCCAAGCTTCTCAAGGAACTTGCCAGGGAGCTTTCTGTGCCTTTGTCGATGCTCTTTCAAACGTCATTTGACACTGGACCCGAGCACTCGACGACAGGCACGCGGTCCACATAGCCTTCATCGACTTCCAGAAGGCGTTCGACACTGTGCCACACCAGAGGCTCTTACTTAAGCTGAAAAAAATAGGGATCGGTGGCAACTTCCTTAAATGGATCGAAAACTTCCTTGTGGGTCGACACCAGGTTGTGTGCGTCGGTCGGGGAAAATCAGATCCGGCTATGGTCGATAGTGTTGTCCCCCAGGGTTCAGTACTGCGACCCATTTTGTTCCTTATCTACGTGGACGATGCCTCAAGAGATTTAGACTGTGAAGTAGCAATGTTTGCGGATGATATGAAGATATGGAGTGTAATTCAGGGTCCTGCCGATGAAGACAGACTGCAGATGAACCTGAATCGGTTGGAGGAGTGGTCAAACCGTTGGCTCCTGCGGTTCAACGTTGCCAAATGTAGCATACTTCGCCTAGGCAACACAGCCAGATCCACCAGCACAAGAGACTACTTTCTGGGCGGTGCAGCCTTAAAAGTGGTCAAAGACCAAAAGGACCTCGGTGTGCTGACGAAAAGTTCCCTAAAGCCATCCGCCCACTGTTCGAGGGTGGCAAAAGCGCAATGTCCGTACTGTACGCCGTCAAGCGTGCGTTTATGGACTTTGACGAAGAAGCTTTCTCTACGACATTCGGAACATTCGTCCGGCCGCATTTAGAGTAT